ACAAATAAACTAGTTTGTAGTTTATAGGCTCAGCCTCCTGCAAAGTCTTAGGACATGGACAAATTGCATTCAGATTCTTCCCCATGGTGTTACAAGAGTGGCTGCCAGCCGAGGTTCCCCTGAGAGTCTTCATTTCCATCTCCAGCCTCATCGGGATAGCTTTTTCTTGTCCATATTTCTCTCAGCATTTTGGTTTTCTGATCCCCTACCAGAAATTGTCCATTAAGCTCTGCTTCCAGCATTCTAGGCTTTTTCTAGTCTAGTCCTCCAAACTTTTCCAAACTCCCCTGCAAACCAATTTCAAAAGCTCATCCATATCATTTCAGGTTTAGCAATGGCCACCTCACTTCTCAGTGAGGTGATTATCTCACAAACCTGAGGTAATCAACTTGTAAAGAGAAAGGTCTGTTTTGGCTCGTAGTTTTAGAAGTTCAGCTGTCCCCACTTCTTTGGACCTGGCAACACATGGCAGAAGCACATATTGGAGCAAAACTGCTCAATTTGTGGCCAGGAAGTTAAAAAGAGAGGAAGAGACCAGTGTCCCATCATCTCCAGTGACCTTAAGGTCTCTAACTAGACCCCACCTATTAAGTTTCCAACATCTCCCACTGCCAAGCTGGGGATCAAACCTTTAATACATGCACTTTTGGGGGACACTTGTCTAAACCACAGCAGTGTGCCATTCATCATCCCTGACTACTACTAACCGATCTGGGTAGACCTGGATCCATGTTATTGGTATGATACCTTCTGTGTGTGCGGTGTTCCACACTACAGCCTGAGGTGCTCAAGACCTTGGCTTCCTCCTTCCCACTAATTTCAGGTTTGGTAGGCTGCCAGATAGAGCTAGTGTTCTTTCCTTTCATTGCCAGCAAGGGTTAGGAGTACTCTTTGCATTATATTTTTTTGTGTGCATGTTCAAACTGGGGTTTGAATTCGGGGCCTCCACCTTGAGCCCCAGGGCCTCCATTGTCCTTTCTTGTGACTTTTTTTTTTCAAGATAGGATCAAGGGCAAACACAACAATGGGATTAGACTTTGAGCACGTGATAAAAGCGAGAGCACACAAGGGAGGGGTGAGGATAGGTAAGACACCTAAAAAACTAGTTAGCATTTGTTGCCCTTAACTCAGAGAAACTAAAGCAGATACCTTAAAAGCAACTGAGGCCAATAGGAAAAGGGGACCAGGAACTAGAGAAAAGGTTAGATCAAAAAGAATTAACCTAGGAGGTAACACCCACGCACAGGAAATCAATGTGAGTAAATGCCCTGTATAGCTATCCTTATCTCAACCAGCAAAAACCATTGTTCCTTCCTATTATTGCTTATACTCTCTCTACAACAAAATTAGAAATAAGGGCAAAATAGTTTCTGCTGGGTATTGAGGGGATGGGGGGGTAGGGAGGAGTGGGTAGTAAGGGAGGGGGTGGAGGCAGGGGGGAGAAATGACCCAAGCGTTGTATGCACATATGAATAATAAAACAATAAAAAAAAATAAAAAGCTTTCACATTAAAAAAAAAAAAAAAAAGATAGGGTCTCACGAACTATTTGCCCAGCTGGCTTCAAACTGCGATTCTCCTGACCTCCTGAATAACTAGGATTATAGGCGTGAGCCACTAGCACCTGGCAAAGGTTCTTTCTTCTTCTTTTTTTTTTTTTTTGGTGGCACTGGGGTTTGAATTTAGGGCCTCATGCTTGCTAGGCAAGTGCTGTACCACTTGAGCCACTCCTCACATTTTTTTTTAAGTTTGAAAATTCTAAGGGATTAATGATGATATCTATTAAGATAGGAAAGGTAAACTATAGTCAGGAAATTAATGTCAGAACAGATGTACAGAGGTCAGCATGGTGGCCCATGCCTGTGATCCCAGCTACTTGGGGGTCAGAGACGGGAAGGATCATGGTTTGAGGCCAGCCTACGCAAAAAGTTAGCAAGACCTATCACAACAAATAAGCCAGGCCTGGTGGCTTACATCTGTAATCCCAGTTATGTGTGAGGCTGGCCCCAGGCAAAAAACCAAGATACTCTATGTGAAAAATAACTAAAGCAAAACAGGGCTGTAGATATGGCTCAGTGGTGGAGCACCTGCCTGGCAAGCTAAAGACCCTGAATTTAAACCCTAGTACCTCAAAAAAAAATGGATATACAGAAATAAATATTTGTATTTTGCAGGTAGTTATGAATATTTGTCTAACTTAAGTACTGAAAACTCACATGTTCATGGGGGTTGCAGGTAACTTAAATGGATGAGAGTTGTATTAGCTGTTACTTAAGACAATAAGCAGCAAGAACATCAACCACAAGAAACAAAACACACCTGGCCGATTCAACCTACGGATGGCTACGTTCAGTGTCATCACTACCAGTTTATGCCATGTCTTGACTAAAACGTAACACGGGAATATGAAACAAGAATATTAGCCTTTGTCATATATTATTACCACAAGAGGCCACACTAGAAGAGAAAATAATAAGATGTTCTTAGCTCTTGTACTTAACAACAGCAACAAAAAAGGAAAACTAAAAACCAGTTTTCCTAATGAAGAATGATTAATCAGACTTTGATATAACTGTATAACTATTTAAAACACAAAGATACACAGAAAGTGCCAGAGCATGAAAGTGACATCTGTGCAAATTGTGTCAGATCAGAATAATTAAATATTTAGGAATTGTAGTGTATGTTAATAGAAAGTACAAAAGAATTTAGAACCAAGTGAATAATTTGAGCTTCATCAGACTTTTTCCCCTGAAAAATAGATTGAATTTTCCATGCAGAAAAAGAAAATGCAGTTAAATGCATCACTTGTGGTACTGGGTTTGAATTCACAGAATTAGACTTGCTAGACAGGTGCTCTACCACTTGAGCTATTCCACCAGCCCTTTTTTGTGTTGAGTATTTTTGAGACAAGGTTTCATAAATGATTTGCCTGGGCTGGTCTCGAACTGTGATCCTCCTGATCTCTGCCTTCCAAGTAGCTAGGATTACTGACATGAGCCACTGGTGCCTGGCTAACATAACCCACTTTTTTTTTTTTTTTGATAGGTTATGGCCATGTCCTGGAAGTTTTCATTTTTGCCTGAAATGTAGTGATATTTTGCTCCTACATCGTAATTCTGGTATTTACTTTTCTCCTATTCACCCTAATTTATAAATCTAAAACCAGAGAAAGTAACTTCTGTCCCAAGCTCCCTTTTCCAGAATTCTAGAGCTACTCACCCTAGAGATTCTTGCTGTCCTTACAGCATACTTTCTGATTCTCCTTGCTCTGCTCCCAGTGATCTGGGTCCTGAATAAGAAGGGCATTTATCTGCTCCTAGCTAACATCGTCTCTTGCCTGAGCTCATATCAGCTTTCCAAAGGCCTCCCTACTCCCTCCAGCACACTTGCAGTCCCTTCTTCACTCAGTAGTCACAGTCAACATCACCCTTTAGACTAAAAGTGTTCTGAGACTGCTTTAGGATGCACTGAGACCTTCCATGGTCTGGACCCTGTGTTTCTTACCAGCCTCTGCTAATTTCCTAGCTGTCTGCGCTGAGGCACCATTGGTCCTCCTTCAGTTCTTGGCTAGCCAGTGCATTCTTCTCTCACCACGTACACATTGCATGTCTAACTGGAATGTCCTTTTCTTTTAGTCTAATCTACTTCTCAACTGGGCCCTTTTGCCTTACTGCATGAGCTCTCCTTCTTAGCATTTATTGCTTAAAGTTTATATTTCTTTGTGTGATTCTTTGATTAAAGTCTGTTTCCTATACAAGCCAATAAACTCCATAAAGATGGCTGTATCTTTTTTTTTTTTTGCCAGCATGTCACATGCACTATAAGTACTTACTAAGTATTTAGTGTGCAGCTGTAATCTCTTCTTGTTTCACTGGTGTGGAATTTTATAGCTCTTGACTCATGTAAGTAGTAATGCCATCTATGATTTCCTCACTACCTCTATCTGAGATTTTCTGGTTTATAGGAAGGCATCTGGGCTGAGTCTTCCAGTGGCCACATATGCATCTTTTTTTTTTTTCCCTTGGCGAAAATACACACTGTACCCTAAGGCTGTCCTGTCCTCTGAAGGAAATCTAGGCAGCTCCAACCACCTCTCCAGGTTCTCCTGACAGATTCATGAACTCCTTCTACGTACAACTCTAAAGCAGTGTCAGTAAAAGCAGCAGCAAAAGAACCTGATTTTTCAATGACAGCAGTTATTAGGGGTCCTGCATGAAATTCTTCAGTGCTTCTTAAATAAGAACTAAATCTACTTGTCTCATTGCTGTAATTTACCACCTGTTCTGCTACAATGAAGGGATTACATTGATAAGAAATCTTCATTCAGGCCAGGTTTTGTAGTACACATCTATAATCCCAGCTACTTGGGAGGCAGAGATAGGAGGATTGTAGTTTGAGACTGACCAGGGCAAAATCTTGAGACTCTATTGGAAAAACAAACTAAAAGCAAAAGGAATGGGGATGTGTGGCTCAAAAAAAAAAATCTTACATTCATTATAAATTCATGAGGTGTAAACAAGAGCTTGACCAGAAAAAGAGTTAGGAATTGGATAGTGTCAACTCATAATAATGAAGTCATTTTTCTTACAGATTTTTTTCTAATAAAAGTTTGTTTTAAGAAAATACTTATGAATTTATTTGCAAAATCCATCATTGAGAAAAACCTAGTGTTTGACTACATATAACATTTGTTCTGGAATAACAGTCTTTGTTTTCCTCATTTGTTTTAGTATTGTTAGCAAAAAACCATTTGCACCATCCTATTTTCTTTTGTTACCCATTGTTATGATAAATCAGACACCAATCCTCCCAGACAAACCTGTTCCATTCAGATCTAGTATAATAGTGATAGTCCTAATGCTAACCCAGTTGTCTAATTTATCAATTTGCTCTAAAAAACAAAACAAAATACCCCAGGCTTTGTAATTTTCTCAGATCCAGACAGTCTGCATGAAACAATAACACCTGTGTGTGTGTGAATGTTTTCCCCTCCATCAGGTGACACAGGCCCAGTGTGTCAAGACAGAAACTGAATTCTACCTCCGCAGCCGCAGTGAGATAGTCGGTGGAAAAGGCCACTCCATGGGGGCTCTTTATTGGCAGTTAAATGACATTTGGCAGGCTCCTTCCTGGGCCTCTCTAGGTAAGCGTTTCCGCATGCTTTGTGTGTGAGAAAGAAGGCAATACCTGTGGGGAAAGGACAGAGCCTGAAGGATCACATTAACCATTAACGCAAGGAGAACTGGGGCCAGAAGAGGCTGTGCCTGGTCTGTGAACTTGTCCTGTCACTCATGCAACCGTTGCTCCAAGGGCTTGGAGCTGCTCCAAGGCAGCCTGTGAGTTCTGAGCTGTGCTGTCACAGCAGGCTGGCAGAGCATGTGACTTGTTATTGCACAGAATTTTGAGTAGATTTAAATGGACTTTCTAGGGCCAAAGGGACAAGAACTTAAACTTCCCCTGTTCTGTGTAGGAGAATTCAGCCAAGTTGAAGGTTGACCTGCCAAAGCAGTGAAATGTCCTTTTCTCTGACTCCTCTTTAAATTCATATGGTTACCTTTGTAACCTGTTTATCTCTGGGGGGAAGGAGGGAGAGTTTTTCAGCTGAACCAGTTCCATCAGCGAAAGGGGAACTGACTGTCATGGAGCTTGTGGTTTGAGCTAAACAATCTATTTTAGTAGATTAAAAAAATTAATGAGTACAAATGAGTCTTTGGCCTTCACTAGAGGTGATTTGAAGCAAAGTTCAGGTGGAAATCTAGACAATAGTTTTGGGTCAAAAAATGAGGTAAAGCTGTTACAATAAAAAGGTCATTTTGCCAGGTGAGGCTCTTAACTGGCTATGAGTTCTGGTCCTAAAGAGTTCATTCCCAATATGCTTTACTTAAGTGTTAAGTGGATAATTCTTATAGAGGATCAAGTTTCTCTGAACAAACTCTTTATTAATACCAACCACATAAAAAAGCCTGGAGCACTGGGTGAGACCTGGGTAGGCTGTGGGGGACAGCTGGGATGCTAGAAAGGTCAATGCAGAGACTGTGCAGAGACGCTTGGACCTGACTCCTCCACCGCCCCCCGCCCATCTGTGGATGAGGTTGTAGACTTCTGAAGCTGGGTTCGATTCAAGAAACAGGAGAGTCCAATTTTTGCAAACCTTTGTTTAAATGATTACATGTTATTTGTATGAGAGATTCAGAAAGGGCGTGTAGTCACGTGTATGATGGCAGAGCAGGAGCTTCACTGTTTATAAACTCAGCAGGACCCTGCCTGCACGAAGAAGGTACCAGTTCCTTGTACTCATTAGAGAATACAGGTACAAGTCTCTTATTCAAAATGCTTAGGACTAGAAGTACTTCAGAGTTTGTATTTTTCTGGATTTTAGAATATTTGCATATACATAAAGAGGTGTCTTGAGGATGGGACTCAGTCTAAACATAAAATTCATTTAATTTCATATAAATCTTATACATGTAGCCTGAAGGTAATTTTATATAGTATTTTAAATAATTTTATGTGTGAAACAAAGTTTCATGGTGTGGAATTTTCCACTTGTGGTGTCATGTCGATTCTCAAGAAGCTTCAGATTTTGGAAAATCTTGGGTTTTATATTTTCACTTAGGGTGCTCAACCTGTACCAGGGAAAAGCTGTGAGTGTATTTACTGTCTTCTCTTATCCTGGGCAGCCTCATAGCCACTGTTTAGCTATTTAAGCAGCTCAGTAAGTCTACTGCTTACATATGTGCAAATGGGGAGGTTATGCATTATCTCTTGTTACCTGAAATGATAATACTTTAGGGCAATCAGTAGCTACTGAAGATAGACTTCTTTTTAAAAATTGGTCTCATTTATAGTTATAATTTTCAAATGCAAATATCTACCTAGGTATTTTGCTTGATTCATAGACTTGGAAAATTCAAGAGTTAATGTGAGAGGAGAGAGAGAGAGAGAGAGAGAAAGAGAGAGAGAGAGAGAGCGCTATGGCAGTCAGAAATTAAAATTATTAGTCTGTTATCCAAGCTTTATTACTGATTAGTTACCTAGAGTGTTTGGTGAGATTTGCTTGAATTCCTGTTCTCCCAAGTGTATTCTGCTTGTGGCCTTGACTTCTGGAATCACACATTTAGTCTTCCTCCCATAATAGAGGACACACATGAGAGTGTGTAAATTACCTCAGGAGTCACCTTTCATGTCGGTGAAAACTTTCCAGTACAAGTTCAAGCTTGTGCAACAGATCCAGTAGGAAAGGCTTGTTTCTCCATACCACATGTCCTCCACCATTGTTACGAGGAAATTTTAACAGTTGGGAATGAAGAACCAAGAATTGAAATTTTGCAAAACTCGAAAGAAATTGATTCTATCATTCCTCCATCTTGACAGCTTGCACTATGCATTCTGGCACATCTCCTTTCTTTCTCTCTCTCCATTGCACCTCCTCCACCAGGTAAAGGGTTCTGTTGTAGGTGCTTTCATAACAACCCTGAAGTGTTGTCTTCTGTGCTTTACAAGTGAAAAAAACAGTTCAGAGAGGTTAAGAAGCAAGTTCAAGGTCCTGTAGTTTGGAAGCATCGGAGCCCAGTTGAAGCACTCTTAATTCTGACATTTTAAGTGCATCTATTAATCACTCTACTCTCTCTGATTGATTGCTTCAAAGTGGCTTAATCACAAGATTTCTTTAACTGCCAAGAAAAAAAGTAGGGTGGTCGGAATATGTTAGTATGAAAATTGCACAGCTGGAGAACTTATTAAGAAAGACTGCTCTCTCTCTCTCTCTCCCTGTCCCCACCCCATCCACCAAAGTTTGCTATGTAGTGCTTTGTGGAAAAAGTTCTTCATTGTGAAACAGATGAGTGATGAGAAAGGAAGACATTAAAATGTTACATTTGAGGGTTGATATGCCAACGAGGCACAGAATTCCACAGATTCTTGGCACCTTTAAATTGTATTTGAGGAGCTGTGATTCATTGTCATGGTTTGGATGTTTTCCTCCAGTCTGACATTGCCAGTCATATTTGCATATAGTGGTTGTTTGGTTTACTCAGAACATTTTGTGCCTAGGGAAGAAGGAGACTGAATTCTCAATAATTCTTACAAATGAATATTTGCAACAAGTGTTCACTGCTGATGCTACTGATGTGTTTGTAGTAAAAAGGAACATTGGTGGCCAGGCATGGAGGCTCAAACTTGTAATCCTAGCTACTTGGGAGACAGAGATTGGGAGGATCTTGGTTCGAGGCCAGCTTGGGCAAAAATGTTCTTGAAATCCCATCTTAACTAATGTCTGGGCACAGAGGCACACACCTGTTGTCCCAGCTACACATAGAAGCACAAATAGGAGAACCATGGTCCAGGCTAGCTGGGGCATAAGGTGAGACCCTACCTCAAAAATAACCAATGCAAAAACAGCTAGTGGAAAGGCTCAAGTATTAGAGCACCTGCCTAGCAAGCACCAGGCCCTGAGTTCAACCCTGCTAAAAAGGAACATTGGTGTAATAAACTTCTGGAGGCAGAATAGTAAAAAAGAGAAAGTGCTGTCTAGGAGTCAGGTCTGGGTTCAAATTACTGCCTCCAGCATGTTTGAATTTATGGCTTGAGTGTATCGCCTCTTTGGAAAATCGTTAGTGCTTGCCTGTGCTGGATGTTGTCACATGACATGATACCTAAATTCTTACAGAAACGTGGGCTCTCCTCCCTGTCAACCACCTCACATGCTCACCCCAGGAAATCTTGAGGAACCACACAGTGGACCGTGTGTTCGACTCCCACTGCTTGCCCTGCTTGCCTCTGAGCTCTGTCTTTTTTAAAAAAAATTTTTATAAGGATATATTCACTATATGTAGCGGGGGGATTCATAGTGACAATTCCGATTAGACTTATATTGTATACCAGTTACATTGTCCCCATGGTCTCTCCTGCTCTGTCCCCTCTCCACCCCACTTAAAGCAATCGCAAGAGGTTTCCTAGTTCTGTTTCATATAGGTGTATGAAGTTCATCCACCATATACCCTCACCTTAATCTCCTTCATATACCCTCCCCAGTCCCACTAGTACCCCCTCCACACTGTACCTGTTTGCAGTCCTGGTTTTTGTTATTAATATTTAAGGTGATGCTCAAAGGGTGGCTCAGTGTGTGCCCCCTTGGGTGTGCATCACTTTGGCTCTGAGCTCTCTTGATGGTCATTTTCAGAGTACGGAGGGAAGTGGAAAATGCTTCACTACTTCGCTCAGCGCTTCTTTGCCCCACTGCTGCCCGTGGGCTTCGAGGACCGAGACGTGTTCCATGTGTATGGCGTGTCGGACCTTCACACAGACTGTAACGCCACGCTCACCGTAGGTTACCTGGGTTTTTTTCTCTGTAACAGAGAGGAGCTTTTAGATTATTCTCTTCATTGTTTGGTTACATTATTTTGGGGAGAAGTAAAAGAGAAAATTAATTTATATCAAAGAAGAAATTAATTTACATCAAAATGTTTTTTAGTTGATGTCTATCATTCTCCTTTCCTTTCTTACCTTCCCCAAGTTCCATACAGTATTTCCACTATTACAAACGAATGACAGACAACAATATTGTAAAACGTGACATCTGTGAAGGTAGAGGATATGAGGATGTGTATTGAAAGCTGTTGAAAAAGGGTTGGGGGAAGAGGTGAGGGAGAGCAATGGAAGGGGTTGCATGGACCAAAGTAAAGTAGACTCAGAGCAGGGACACACCGAGCAAGCCCTTGGAACATTGACTTAAATATTAAAATGAAAGACACGACTGAAAAACAGGCATAATGTGTGTGTGAGGGTAAGTGTGGAAGGGGGAGGGTGAGTGAAGGAGGTTAAGGTGAGAGAATATGGTGGATGGACTTCATATACTCATATGAAATAGAACAAACAAACCTCTTGTAATTTCTCTAAGTGGGGTGGGGAGAGGGTCAAGGGGGAGAGATGGTGGGAGTGACGTAACCAATGTACAATATAAGCCTTATCGAAATTGCCATGATGAATCCCCCCTGCGCAATGAATAAATGCTAATTTAAAAAATGTTTTTTTAGTGCCTGTAACAGAAAATGGGCTGTCCTTGCAGTCAGTATGTAGTATATACAGTATATTGAGGTTAAATCTCTGTCATTTATTATGTGACCTTGAGCAACTTCCAGAACATTTTGGTGATTCAGTTTCCTAAATTGTAAAATAATAGTAGTGAGTTCAAGTATGATATGTTTGATACATTGTGAGAACTTTGTAAATGCCACAATGTACCCCTATTCAGCACAACAACAGTAATAAAATAATGCTCATTTTTATTGTTTTCTTTCTCCCCAGGTGAGAGTTCACACGTGGAGTTCCCTGGAGCCTTTGTGTTCTCTAGTGATGGGACCTTTTGTGATTAAAGCAGGGCAGGCTGTGCCCCTCTACAAGGAGCCTGTGCGCAAACTTCTGGGGTGTGGAAATTGCACAAGGAAGAGCTGTGTGCTGTCCTTTTACCTTTCCACTGAACGTAAACTCTTCAGCCCAACTAACTATCACTTCCTGTCCTCTCCAAAGGATGCCGTGGGGCTCCTCAAGGCTCAGATCACTGTAAGTATCCATCATCTCAGGTCCTGGCAGCCTTGTGGGTGCCTCTGCTCTTGGGCCAGCATATGTCATCCTGCCAGTTGTTAAGTTTCCCCCTATGTACTAAGTTTACCTGAGGTCTTGGGAAGATTGTCCCTTCCCACTGGATGCAAAGACCAAATGATTTTTGCTTCTTTTTATTTTTATTCCTTTTGTCTATTTGTTTGTGTTACTGGGGGTTAAACTCAAGGCCTTGCTCTTGCTCGGCCAGCACTCCATGCCCTCTCCCAGTCCTAGTTTGTTTTTCACATAAGGTCAGTTTTGCCTGGTCAGCCTCCATCCATGACCTGCTATCTCTACTGACATGTAGCTGAGACCACAGGCTTGCACCACCACACACAGCTTACTTTTGAGTTGGAGATCTCCCTTTTTGCTCAGGCTCATGTCAAACCATAATCCTCCTTTCTCCATCACCCAAGAAGCTGGGATTGCAGATATGGTAGCTGCACCACCATGCCCAGCCCTGATTTTCATTATTAATACAGAATTTGTTCATTATTGTTTCTGCCTTTCTGTGCTATCCCATCACCTTCCCTAGTGGAACTGGTACAGTGGTGGGAGAAGCGGCTTGAGCCAGACCTGCAGATTGTGTCTCCAGTCTGCTCTGTAATAGGTGCTTTATTGTGTAATCTCTGGTTTTCACAACACCCCAAAGTGTTGTCATGTGGCTTTGCAAATGAGAGGGGTCAGGCTGGAAGTCCTGCAGCTAGGGAGTGCAGGAACCCAGTTGAAGCACTCCAATTTTGACTTTTTAAGTACAGTTTATTAATCACTATACTTTCTCTGATGTATGCTTTGAAGTAGCTTAATCACCATATCTCTTTATAATTTCCAAGAAAAAAATAGGATGATGAAGATATGTTGGTATAACAACTGTGCAGCTGAAAAATTTGGAATCTGTTTGATTGAAAACTTTTCCTTCCTTTTCACCCTCTACTTAGTAACTGACAGTATTTTTCTAGAAAATTTAACTCTGTGTTTAGCAAATTTTACATTTTATTTTATTGACATTTTAAAAGTTGACTTAGAAATAATACTGTAAAACACCTAACTCTTGAAGAAGCTTAATAATTGAAAACGTATCTTCTTTCCAAATTAATAATAGAATATTCACATAAGGAGAGCTAAGCTACCTGTAATAACCTAGACATGACAGATACAAAGGATCTGACCTATGCTCACATTGATTTCTTTTGTCCAGCAAATGAAAAAATAGGAACAGTAAAAAGCAAAGAACAAAAAACCCAACTACATACTGGACAAGTTTACAGTCTCTACACTTAGGACTTTTTTTTTTTTTTTGGTGGTGGTAGGGTTTGAACTCAGGGCCTTGAGTATGCCAGGCAGGCACATTACCACTTGCACCATTCCACCGCCCTTTTTTTGCACAGGTTATTTTTGAGACAGGGTCTCCCTTTATGCCCTGGTGGCCTGGACCTTGATCCTTCCATTTGGGCTTTCCCAAGTAGCTGGGATGACAAGGCACATGCCACCACACCCTGCCAGTGGTTGAAATGGCCAGTGAACTGGCCTGGGCTGGCTTTGAACTGGAATACTCCCATCTCCATCTTCTGAGTAACTAAGATTACAGAATTGAGCCACCATGCCCAGCCTTAAACTTACGGCTTTGAAGACAATTTTTTCTTTACTTAACCAGGCTTTCCTTACCTGGTAATCATTGAAGGTGGGATAGAATTAGGGCTTCTTTATTTGTCCTATCTCTTTTGTATTTCAATGATATTAATCCTTCCTATAGAAATACAATAATAATAATAATAATGTTATTTACTTTGGGCTCAATATAGGTTAGGTACTTGTTCTATCCGTCATCCTGAAGCCAGGGTACAAGCTTGAACCCTGGTTCTACAGTCAGGCACACAGAGATGAGACTTCTTATCTAAAAGAGGCAGCAAAACTGAGCAAGGCACCAGTGTCTCTTCTGGCATTGACCTTGGAGCAGCAGCCGAGAAGGCTTCCTTAGTAGCCTCCTGGGCTGGCTGAGGTGAGCCGTGGCTCCTGCCTGTGGCTGCTGTGGGGTCTTCACTGGCACAATGGGTAGTGTGATTTGGGAATTTGGCATCCAATGTCAAGTTTGAGTATCTGACCTTTTAAGGTTATCTGATACATTTTCTTTTCTACTTCAATGAAATGTTTTCTAGCTTATAATTCAATGTAGGTTTTCTTATTTATAATTCAGGACTCTGAATGATAATCATACAAATGTTAAATCTGAATTTGAATTATGTATAGTAAAAATTGCCTTTGAAGTTCTTTTTTTGACAGTGCTGGGGTTTGAACTTACTTCCTCATACTTGCTAGTGTAGTACTCTACCACTTGAGCTACTCCCAGCTATTTTTGGTTTTAGTTATTTTTTGGATAAAGTCTGCTTTTGTCTGGGGCCTGAGGTCCTCCTATGTAGGCCTCCTGAATAGCTGGGATTACAAAAGTAAAGCATCATACCCACCTTGTTTGTTGAGTTGGAGTCTTGCTAACTTTTTGCCTAGGTTGGCCTCAAACCATGGTACCTCCCAATTTCTACTTCCCAAGTTGCTGGAATTGCAAGCATGAGCCACCACCCCAACCCCCCTTGACATTCTTTATGTCACACATAACACATAAGGAAGACCCTACAGGGTAGCGTGCATGCATGTTGAGCCATGTTGCATGTCAAATACACCGCTTGAAAGACCAGGTAACACTGGACTACAAACTCTTGGAGAGAGGCTCGCAAGCCTGCACTTCTGGGGAGCAGTGCATCCTTGTTTTGGATGATTGCTGGTCAGCTAACTGGAATGAGACTACAGGATTTAAATTGCACCCTTTGTTTCTGCTGAGATTGCACAGAATTCACGCATGTTGAAAATGCTGTAAAGTCATGCGATGAGAGAGACAGTGATAGGGCTTCTGAAAATGCCAGTCAGACTGCTTTCTCTGGCTGGATCTGCTCACAGAACTAGAGAATAAGCTCACAGCTGTGCTCTGCAGCTAGGCTGGTCTCCTTCAAAAGTCATTTAACCCACCCAGCTCTTATGCCAAAATGTTCCTTTCCTGGTGATACTGAGAAAAACCACTAAAGACATAAAGCTTGGAGTTTCCTGTGAAATATTCTTAATAATTGGTGTCTATACATTTCCTTGGTTTGAGATTATAATTTAGTAATTTTCTGCAGACTTCAGTCACTTTCCAAGTATTGTTAAGTGTCTGAAACTGTGTGGAACATATGACTTGAGCAGTTGCTGAGCAAAGTACTAAGAAATGCACTCTTTAATAGGCTCACAGAAATGCCCAGTTGGCATTGCACACAGACTGTGTAGCTCTCCTCTCGGCCTTCAGTACATTTCTCTCTTTCTCTTTCTCTTTTTCCAGGCCAACATCACTCAGCAAGGTGACACTTTTGTTTTTGATCTTGAGACCTCAGCTGTTGCTCCCTTTGTTTGGTTGGATGTAGGAAGCATCCCAGGGAGATTTAGTGACAATGGCTTCCTCATGACGGAGAAGACACGAACTGTACTCTTTTACCCTTGGAAACCCACCAGCAAGAGAGAGTTGGAGCAGTCTTTGCATGTGACGTCCCTGACAGACATTTACTGAAGGTGTCCAGGCTGTACTTCAGTAGATGCCGGGATGAAACCTTTCTAAGGCACCAGCTGAGGAGGAAGTAGCCTGTGATGTGTTGAAAAAGCCGAGAGATACCTGGTTGCTGCCATGTGTCTGATTGATCATGCTGTCAAGAGTGTGTATTGAATACTTTTGGGGAAGGCTGTTTACTCAGTGGTGTCCTCAGACAAGGCTGCACCTAGGTGTCTTGAATCTGTGTCAGGATGGTGTTTTTAACCATTCACCTCATAGTTTTAGCACGACATCAACAGTTATAGCTAGATTGCCTTCAGAAAGTCACAAGAGCATACCATGACAACATGTATGGAACCAAATGTGGGAGGCTTTGAGGGAATGCAGGACGTTCATAGCACTTAGAAATGCCAAATAATCAAAATGTAGTGCTTTCTTATTATTTTCAGAGAAAATGGAGCTTCAAACATTACAATAGAGATTTCTAGGTGGCAGCCATATTGACTGTTGTTGGTGGATGGTTTAGGGTATTGATTATTGCCATTTGATTACTATTTGGGGAAGAATTCTTCTTTCATTGTGGGTCTTGTTATTGAAATATAGTTTTAACAGTGACTATTTTTTTTAAAGACTGTTACAGTGTCTTTCTTTGAAAAATAAGCAGAGATTGCAATGGATGTCACCATGGTTGTGTTGGGTGTCCTGACACTGGGCTATTGTGTGGGCTTCGGATCTGACCACATCCGTTGATCTTTCCAATCTATACTTGTTGACCCTGGTACCAAAGTATGTTCCCTTTAGCTTGAGTTTAAATAATTTTATTTATGTTGATTAATTATAATTTGCTATAAATCTTTTTATTATATATCATTGTATAAAATTACACATAATAAAGATAGTGGGGCAAAATGTTAATAAGAGACTAATTGGGTACAGGCCTTTGAAACTTTTTTTGTACTGTTTCTAAAAGTTTGGAATTATATAGAAATAAAAGTTACATAAACTCCATTGGCAACTTGATATTTCATCTGTGGCTTATTTAGTCATTTTATAACCATTCCATTGTACCCCATACTGTGCTGAACATTGATTTCTGCTTGACAAATGAGAGAGCTTGAAGAATCTAAAGTAAGGTATTTGAGAAATTTTCATTTGAAAGGATTCAGAACTGGTTATGGAATGGACCAGCAATGAGTGTTTTGATTTAAAACTGAGACTCATTAGGTAATTGTTTTATTTTTAATACTGAGAAACATTAGGCTCAGTGACTCTAAAAAGAAAATAATACAGATAATCTAGCCTTCTCCTACACACACACACACACACACACACACACACACACACACACACACAGAGCCTCATCAAGGACGGGAATATGCTGAGGAGGGAAACTATTGAACTATTCTACCCTTCTTAGTTTTGCAACTTTAACCAAGTTCTTTAACTTCTATGTTCAATTTTCTTTTGGTAAAATGGGAATAATGGCACCCACTGTGTTGTTTGTTTTGGACACTAAATACAATAATTTAGCGTGGTCCCATGCTGGCACACTGTGAGTGCTCTGTAAATGGAAGTGTCATCCTGGCTCCTGAGCCTAATGTCCTAGAGAGGGCAGGGCTTCCATCCACACTTCTCTGGGTTCAAATCCACATTCTAAAGCTTATTAACTATGACCTTGGACAACAGCTTGGTGTTCTGAACTTTCTTTCTTTCTCTATAAAATGGAGACAAAAATCTCTCATTTTAAAAGGTAGTTGTGAGGACAAAAGACTGGAACAAAGAGAATGCCAAGCAAATGGTGGTTATACTTTTTAACAAAATAATTATCACTCAATTAGTACATGCAGCAATGGTGAAAATGAAGCAAATATAGGCAGATTCTTTCTGAAAAAGGTATTAGCAAAGAATAATTTCTAAAGGAAGAATAAATAAATGAGTGGGCATAGATGATAGATTCAAACAGCCACTTAGAAAAAGGAGAGAAATGTACTGTATTGACAGTAATAGTAATAGCCAAACTGTTCTCCCACAGGTCACCAGTACCTTTGTGCTAGGTTCAGTTTGCACAGAATCGAGTCTGATGTACTTTTTGGCTTTGATTTCTGAGAAGGTTTTTGTTAGTAGTTGTGCAAACCACAAACAGGGTAGGAAGAACAGGACCAGGTCCTACTGCTGTGCTCTTGCAAAGAATGTTCCAGAGAGACAGGGCAGAGGTCAGTTCACAGGATTATATCTACTCATTTCAGGACAGAAGGGATGATAAAAATGATAATTTTCTCACTCATATTCACTATAACTCTTATTTTGTCAGTCTCTTTTACTGGACTTTTCATTGTGAGACATTTTCAAACCTTGGGAAGTCAGTTGGAAAACAAAGAGAAAGATTTTGTTTTTTATTGGAATGAAAGTGAAGTGGAGTACAGTGCAAATAAAGATATGTTTTCCAAACATTCCTAAAGTGACAAAGACTGGCACAGAAAGATGATTCTTTTGAGTTACCTCTGGCTCTCAGATATGAAAAGTATCCCCCAGCTTGTTAAGATTTAAGGAGAAAAACAAGTAGGCATTGTTTGTGTGGGAAATTCAAAGCCTTTGACAATATTAGTACAGTCTGTCTTGACTGAATGCAGTCTTATCAGTTCAATTAGCACAGGAAATTAAAAAGATTATGCACAAAAGGCATTGAGTAGTATTTCTAAGTGAATGGAAGATTTCTTATTTTGTAATTGATTTATCAGGGTGATGGACAAAAAGTCACATACAAAAGTAGTGTTAAAATGTCTCTATTTTCTGAACCTAAAAGCTGTGTAAGGATTTATTTATTTGTTTACCAAACATTTATTGTGGGTTCTGGGCTGGCACTGTCCTTGTCACAGGGTTATGACAATGAAAAAGGTGGACAAGTCCCCGCTCTCATGGACCAATCATTGGATAGGAGACATACAGTAAACTAAATAAACAAAGCAGGCAATCTCAGCTGGTGCCAAGTCATATGGTGTGGGTGAAAGAGAGCATATTAGATAAGGACATTTTATTCAGCACTTTAGAATAAAGTTGTTTTGGAAAGCTTGTGATAGAAAAACAATGAAAAAAATTCAGGTGAGAAATGAGTCTTTCATTGTAATTAATACAGAAGGAGGGAAGAACTCAATCAGCTGGTTGATTGGAGTCTGATTTACAAGCTGAGGGTGGAGTCTGATTTACAAGCTGAGGGCTCCTTGAATTGGAGCCAGACAGTTAACGGGCTTTGCAGAATGGGCTTTGCATCATTGTTTCGTGTTTTGTAAATATCTCTCCTATTTGTAGTCAAGGGTCACTGAATCATGCCATGAAAAGAAAAGTTTGCCAGACTACTGCAGCTTAACCCCTTAGTTCTTTATACAAGATTTGTTGAGCTTCCCATGGGCCGTGTCATGCTGCGCAGTGAGCACGTTTAAAATGATTACAGCAAACCTAGGTTCCCTAGGATTCTCAGGAAACTGGGACATTCTGGATCATGGACAACTCTATTTGAGAACTGGTGTTCATTCCTACCTCATAATGTTTGGGAACATCCTCTTACTCTGTTCTTGCTTTTTATTGCAGCTTTTGTAAAATTGGTTAGGTTGTGAGCGATAATCCACACGTTCCTAGGGGTTGGAAGAGACACTATTGGCTGGCCAACCAAGAGTCAGATTCTTTTCTGTTCCCAGAGGTGGCTGTGTCAGGTGGCTTTGCGAGGGATTAGTGTAGGGTTAGGCGTGTGACACAACTCTGGCAAAGGAAACACACGTAAATGATGAGGTGTGGTGTTTCTGGGGGAAGGTTTTCCTGTCTGATAAGAGATACACCTCAAGTAAATCTGTTCGTGGGAGTACTTGACAAACTGCTTGAGGGCAGCCTTTCTAAGACCTTAAAGAAAAATCATTGACATAAGGATGTCGGAGATGTTGAACTGCTAAATAACCCCATTACCATCTAACTTTGGTCTTTTTATCACACTATTTCTAAAGGCATTATTGTTTAATTCACTCATAATCAGGTATATTGATTTCACAACCAAAAGCAACCAATTGACAGAGCAGTTGAAATAGGTGTTTTGAAATGAGTCACACCTATACTGGCAGGTTATCTGACATTGAATACAAAGTTAAAAATCTTTCTGTTCCTCAGTTTTTTTATCTTTAAACAGGGGGGTGGGAACAGTGTCTTCCTCATAGGTTAATTTTGGGGACTAAATGTGATGATGCAGGACATTGAGAGCACACAATAACTATTTAACAAATTGTGCTGTTAGAATTATTGCCTCTGTGTTAAACCAAGAAAGCAAGGATAGGGAGACAGGTAGATCCGAACCGGGGCAGGCACTGAGTGGCAGGTATGCACCGTGCCAGCCAGGGAGCAGTGAGTGGCCAGAAGTCAACAGTGGGTGGGTAGCATGAGTGACCAGAGAGGACAGGGTACAGATGCTGACCCCTGCCCACCCCACCTGGTCATCTGGAAGATGCAGCTGGAGAAAGTGTGGGCCACACATAGACCATATTTGGCTAGCAGCTGAGAGGCCAAATGTGGTTTCAAAAGTTGAATTACTTGCTAATATTTAAAAATGGTATGATTTCATGTAAAATATAGATCTATTTCTGACCTTCATGTAATGAAAAATTTAAAGCCCTTATTTGTTTAATTCTCTTATAGCTCTGGCCATCTTATAACCAGAAACATCCTTGTTCTTAAAGGCATGGGCTCGAAGGTCAGGCTTAGAACTGGGCCTGGGAGGGCAGGGTGGGTATCTGGGTGTCCCCTCAGCCAGGGGATGCCGAGCCAACCACTTGCCTGCACCCGGATGTAGTGGTGGCAGTGGCAGTGGTGTCTCTAGTGAGTAAGGTGGTTGGGTGCATACTTTGCCATGGTGAGTGAGGAAAGGACCCTGCTTTTTTCTAATGCGATCTCAAGCCAGAGTTGGTTGGTTGGCATCTCTGCCTAACCACATTTTCAGTATTTGAACTGAAAGATTTTTAATTAGTCAACTTACAAACACAACAAGCAAAATGTTTCCTCGTAAAAGATCCAAATGTGCATGTGTATATGGGTGCGTGTGTGTGCGTATGGGTGCGTGTGTGCAGGTGTGTGTGTATGTGTGCGTGTGAAGGCTGTGTATAGTGCAGTGGCCATAGGCTGATGCTCTGATAGTGAACTTCTGTGGTTTCGACTCCAGCATATACTGACCTTTAACCAATCAATCTCTTAGACTCAATTTATTTGTCTTTAAGATGAGGTTAATACTAGGAACTCTTTCATTGCATTATCCTGAGGATTAAATAAAATAAAGTCTATGCAGTACCTGGCACGGGATAAACATAAGTGCTGGCTTATGATTATTATTCCTTAGAGGATAAGGTAGGCTGTGACTGGAATGATTAGGCCTACAGGGTCTTGCTTTCCCCTTCACGGAAGTAAAAAAACCACTTAAGGCTTTTCTGCTAAGGGAAAATAATTACCAGGCTTGTGATGACCTGTGTTGAAAGACAGAAGTCTAGGCAGAAAGCTGATGTTTCTAATTCTGTTTTTTGTATGACTCTTTCCAATTTTATCAGAGAAAAAAAAAAAACATAAACGAGTAGCAAGAGGCATGCCAGCTGCTGGGTGACTGTGCAAAGTTCTTCTTCTTCCAGTAGAGGCCTCCTGTGCCCAGGAAATGAGGCTGGTGGTGGGTGGAAGGCCACTGCCTGGCAAGGGTGCTTGCTTCCGGGAGACTTCCCCAGAGAACTTGGCTCTGCGGCCTGCCCACAGGGAGGGGAGTGTAAAGAGGAGCTTACTCACCTTCCGGACATCAGGAACCTGGCCGCCATAATGCCCTGGCATGTGTGAATATGCACCTACCTTAAAGAAGGAAAGAAAAAGAGAGGGAAGAAGTGGAGGAAGAAGAGAGAAAGATGGAAGGGGGAGACAGAGAAAGGGAAAGAGAGGGGTCGAGAGGAAGAGAAAGGGGGGGATAGAAAGTAAAAGAAAGAAAGAGAGAACAGGAAAGAAAGGCTAAGGGAGAGAGGAGAAATCAAGAGAGCCTCTCTCTTGGCTGAACTCTGGTTCCTTCCCAGGCTCCAAGGTTAACAAAGCTGAGCACTAGAGTGCCTGGATC